AAACATGATTATAAGTTTATAAATTCAAATTCTTCTTTTTGGAAAAATGTGTTCCCCACTCATAGATATAGGCTGGACTAACGGGGCTGGTATGTTGTTCCCACGTCCAAATCCCCTCCTGAAATGATCACACACAAACCACTTCAATTCCATCCATATTAAGTTACGAGTGATTTCTCAATAATAACTCATACTTATCATCAAAATAAAATATATAAATCCTTCAATAAGCAATAAGCTAAGACTTGATATTTCCATCTCATTGGCTAACTTAAACATAAATTCACTTAATTTCGAATCCCTCTACTTTCCTAACTCGTTAATACTAATTTTTCTCGACTGTCCCAACGAGATTCAACAAGATTTTCATGTCAATAAACATCCACATTCCTCATTTCAAATTTCTTTTAACTAAATAAATGGATATATCTCATCAAATACCCCTTTCTTCTAATCTCAATATTCATCCAAATTAAGAATTCAAGTACAAGCTAAGTTATTTTCAACCCATCTAACTTAATATCATATAACAATCACAAGAAAATTATCAAGGATGCCAATTATTCTCAAATTTTTGGATTAAGCCATATATATCAAAACCCTAATCTCCAGTGAACATTTCTTCCAATCCACTAGAATAAATAGCTCAAAATAATCGGTTAAACAACTTCCTTATCATATTTTTTCCAAGCATAAGTTATAAATTAAAAACCCTAAATTTTTACCACAAACTGAACCACAAAACATTTTGGATTTACCTCAAAATAGAAGAAATTGAAAACCCAACTTTGATCTCGTAGGTGGTTTTCTTCCCTTTTCTTTTCTTTCTTCCTTTTTCTTCATTTTCCCTTCTTTCCCATTTTCTTCTTCCTTTTCCGGTTTCTGTCTTCTCTGCCGTGTGTGTGAGTTAAAAAAGGATGGGAAATGGGTACTAAAAGTCCGTTTGATTCTCATTATTGTAGAATGTTGATGAAAAATATAGCCGTTATTGGGGTCTCACACAAGAGATAGAAATTTAAAATTGATGGCTTGATGTGATGGATAACGATCACATTTTTTTATTTTTATAGATGAAAAATGAGAAACAAATGGGGGCTAATTGTCAAATTAGTGGAGTATTTGTACTAGAGGTCTCTCATCTTTCAAACAAAATTAATTTAAGTCTTTTACTTCCAAAACTAAATAAATAATTCCCTAACTTTAAATTTAATCCAGTTTAAACCCTCAATTAATATCCATT